ATATTTTTTTTTATCAGTCATTTTTAGTCTCAAAATTTATGTAAAATAACATTAAATGATATACTACAATAAATATTATAAAAATACATACGAAATATTAACAAAAATTATAATACATTATTTATTTATTTATTTATATTTATTTGATGTTTTTTGATATCATAACTTTTTTTTTGAAACCTCAAAACTTTATCTGTTTGCAGGTTCCCAGATCTTCAGACTGTTTTCTGCTGTTTTAACGTTAAGATATACTGCCTAATATTCTAAAAATAGTGTATCCATGTTTGTCTAACTTATCCAAAATTGGGATGTCAGCTTGCTTACATTTGTTGTTTCTCTCTTATCAGTCTTCCTGTTTAAAGTGGTTTATTGTTTGTGTTTAGAGTTCGTTTAGATATGCTGAGACCTGTAGTGAGAAAAAAACAAAACAAGAGATTTTCTGTGTTTATGCGCTTTATGGCTCCACATCCACAGCTGGAATAACATCTTTTAGCAGGAAGTCAAATCAAACAGCAGCACTAGTCATTCTTAAAGTCTCATGCCCCTTATTAAGAAGAAAACATGCTGTTCACATAGTGGAAGTATGAGACTGATCATCTTACCCATAGTAACCCAGAACTTTTGCATGACAGTTTAGATGTTTTCGAGACTCAATCTGTACTCAATGCTATGCAGTTGCTAGGTTATTTTGGTTGATTTTACGGAATTTCTATGCCATTGCTGGAGTGTTTTCACAAACACCATCAATACATGACATGTTGTGATTTTTAGGTGCAGCACACCTGCTAAATTATAAACTCAGTTAGTTAAGGCTCAGTAACTTTTTAAGGAACACTTTATCAATGACAAGTCAAGGTCATTGATAAACGAGAAACTGACATTGTGAAACCCGATGTGCTCTGTCAGCATTAAGACGAGCAATTAAATGGGCCGAACAAATTTAACACAAATGCCAGATGTTAGAATAGAACACACATATATATTCAGCTGTCAAAACAAATGGTAAGAACTGATGGCTTCCAGACCATGTCAAATTCCTCACTTTCATCTGAATCAAATTTTGCAAAGACACGCTTGAACTCTGGGAATTCATAAATAGTTGTCCTTGGAATGACACAACTGAAATCTGACCCAGTGCCTTGACTTTATTTATTTACCACATTTGTGCTCAACCAGTGAGAAATAAACCAGCATTATGTGTGTGGGTTCCAAGTCACAGGCTTAGTGGTAAAATCACTGTGACACACGGCCTCTTTTGGCCCAGAGTGCACATGCAATACTGTATCCCACAAATGCAATGTGCTTGACTTGACTTTCCATATAAGTGTGATGAATAATCAGCCATGATTAATATCAGCCATGACATCTCCTTCTTGATTTGAGTCATTACATTACTTGAATCATTATATTATAACTACTTTTTTTATTTTTTATTATTATTTTTTTTTACTTTATATGTAATTTTATTTTATTACTTTATTTTTTTTATTTATTTTTATTTTATTTTTTATTTTTGCTTTCTTTTTTATTTATTTTATTCCTGTTTATGCACAGCTCCAATTCCTCGGATGCAGTTTTGCCTGAAAATTGTTTTTCTTAATGCTCCAGTAGAAGCAGTGCCAGAAATTATTGCCCGCCTTCCTGTTTGTGAAACACAGAGCTCATTTGTTCACGGGAGGCGGGATATTAGTTGTGGCAGTGGTCTGAGCATTATTATTATAAATGTACTTCAGCAGATTGTGAGTTCTGACAAAGCAAATCATCTTTAAACATCAGCGACTTTCCAATCCTGTTTATGAAATGGTGAAAATGAGGTTATTACTGTAGATTGCCTGTTTCTGCTCTGAATCACTAAGCTGAGATGATGGGTTCGATCTGTTGTCACTGTGTTATGTGTGTACTATTATAGTATTTTTATAGTACTATAGTATAGTAGTATATTTATTTACAGTATATTGATATGAATTAGCTTGTATTTTATTAAGTTTTTTAACTTTATTCTTTTTTATTATTAAATCATGATTAGAAAAATAAAATCATGATTATCTACATTATTTGTTGCATAATGTTATTTGGCTCAGAAAATTATTTTGGATTGTCCAGTAGTTGTTTTAAAAGAAGAAAGTGCCATTGTTACAAAATTGTGCGTACAAAAACGTTTTTTGTATCAAAAACGGTCATTGTATAATTTACAGTGAAAAACCGTAAATTGACACTCCCAGAATTCCCTGCATGACACTTCATATTTGATGTTTTTTTGTTGAAATAACATGTTTCTTTTTCGTTTTTTCTTATTAGATGTGTACAGTAGGGTTTAATCTTACATCTAATATTGTTAAATTAATGTTTATTGAATTATTTCAGTTTCATGTGTCACCATGATGGGCTTTAGTGTTTGTGTGAATGACACTGTGTGCACCTTCTATATATAAGAACTACCCTCCTCAGCTCGTAGAAAAGCTGTTTGTGATGAGCTTTGGTTCATCATGTGACTTTCTCATCACCACCAGTTTTGGTGGTTATCAGTGCATTACAGTGGTTCAAAACAGATATTAACACTTCAATATGTTGGTTTATTAACATTACATCAGTTAATGAAATTCGGTATTTTATTGTGAATTTAAGTTAAATCTGTAAAACCTAAAATGTTGCTACCATATTTTTTTACGGTGAAGTTCTGGCAACCACAGCTGCCGGTATTTTACCGTAAATGTCACAGATTTTTTTTTTTACAGTGTACAAATGAATTGAAACTAAATAGAAGCTAGATGGCTAAACAAAAAAAAAATATTTAATTCAAAATATGAATAAATACAAAAATATTATAAGGAGTTGTATGTAAACAGTACATTTCTGGTGTTTTGTGTGAAAGTTATCAGGTTTACCAATGTTTTGTGGACATGTTTGTAATTTGATTTCTGGTATGTTCCTTATTGTGCACAATTCATCTGTGCATGTTTTCCAGATGAAAGCAAAATGTCTTGGTAACCTTTTATCAAAATGTAATAAGTTGCATTGGCTCTGAAACAGCTTTCTATCTCATGAATCCTTCTTCAGTCCCTCTCTTCCAAACACCTGGCTCCGATTGGATAAAATCAAGTCCCGTCCCGCTTTTTTTTCTGGTTGAAAATCCCATTTCACTTGAAAAAAGTCATATCACAGTGGTAAAATGTGTTGACTTGAAAGTCACAGAATCATGCCTGAAATTTATGTTTTTTGTTTTTCTATGTTTTGCAGGTATCATCCTCCTGCGTTCCTGTTGCCAACTATGAACTGGTAAGAACGTCTGTGGTTGTTTTGATAATTTGTTTTTGATCGCTTCATAAAACAGCCATCACTCGGAATCTGAACTGTTAATCAGATTGAGGATAAAGAGATGTTTGCCTATTTTGGAGGCCTTATTTATTTGTTTGTTTGTTTGTTTGTTTGTTTGTTTGTTTAAAACCCCATCCGATATTATATGAGATATTATTGGAAAAAAAACAAGGTGGTTTCAAGCTGATTTTCAGCTACATTTATTGAATCATCACCGCCGAAAATGTGATTGTGTGGACAACATAATTATATTGAACATCCTTTAAAGTTGCATATACTTTCTTCTTTTAATTTAATATAATAGTCTATTAATATTTTTTAAATATTATATTTAATCTTAAAATATATTATATTATATATTATATTAATCTCTAATTTTGTAGGATTAGTTATTACAATTCTATTATTAATAAAATTAACAAATGTAAAGCAAAATAATTAAATATGATTCAAATAATATTCATATTTTAATGATAATCTAATATAAGTATTGTTTTCAGTTGAATGTGATCAATTAAATCTAAAACTATTAAAATGTTTTTGGTTATTGAAGAAATAATATTAAATATAAGTATTAGATGAAAAAAAAAGAAAAAAAAATGTTGCCTTGGTAACTAACTGAAATAAGTTAAACTGTTAAACTAAACTTTTTAAAATGTATTTATTGGTTTATTTAGGTAGGGACAGTACAAAAATCATGATTCCAGCCAAAAGAAGCTGAAAAATACACACACACACTGCCTTCAGCAAGGACAACGTTGCTGAACTCACTGTTTACAATGACGCAACTCACTGAAGCCAAACACAACCCTTTTTAATGGCTTTTCTGTGAATTCAGGAGTGTTTCTGTGAATGGCCTGAATCTTGTAGACCTGCTTTCTCCTCGCTCCATGTTTGGTAAATTCTCCTCTGCCAAACTGGTTGGCTGGCTGGTGGTTAGACCTGTGATATGACACCCAATAACAAGGATCAAATGCCAGTGTGAATTTACAATTGTGGATGAAAAGGTTCACCGTAGGTGATGATATGATCTTAAAAACATAAAGGAAATTAAGCCTTTTTTTGCAATGTGACATTGTTTTCATTGCAATTAAACATATCTACTGCCAAAATTATAACAATACAAAATTATTATTGTAATTTTTTATTTTATTTTAAATTAAATGATTATATTTTATTATATTATATGTTTATAATATATATTTGTTGTACTACATTTATGATTAATTACATTTTAAAGTTAATTTTATAAATTACTATTACAGTATGTTACTCTATTACAGTAATGAGAATTTTGCAGAAAATGTGCTGAATTGTTATTAAAATAATTTCAGCTGTGTTTATATGAATACGGCTAGATTTAATGATGAAATAATGGGTTACATTTTACCCCAAAATCAAATGAAAGAAAAAAATGTTTCACGTTTCCTTGACAAATAAAATGTTTACTACTAAAATTATAGCAATTAATTTAACTAATTAATTTATTATATTTGTATTCATTTTTAAGCGAAAGTATAAACTTATATTTTAATAATTGTATAAAAATGTAATATAATTATTGTAAAAATTGTTATATTTTTAAACATTTTATTACAGTTACTATTACAGTACATGTTACTGTATTACAGTAATGTGAATTCTGCAGGAAATGTGCTGAATTGTTATTAAAATAATGTGCAAAAATATCTTAATTGTAATTTTTTTCATTAGGTTTTGGGTGAAATGTGACCACGCTAATGTATGTTTTTAAATTTACGTTCCCTATCCAAGGTGATCTGCTATGTTGTACTTTTTTATATGACACAAGTAGACGGCTAGACACATACACTGCGTGGGCATTATCTCAATAATATGCTCTCTACATCACTGCTTATATTTTGAAGACGGGCTTCAGACTTTCTCTCTCTCAGAGCTGTCTACCATCCTCTAGAGCCATCTGGCCTGTGTCTGTTTCACCACAATGTGATATTGGCCATAATTGGCCATGAGAGGGTGAAGTGCATGCCGGGCCTCGGATGACATTAAGCAGACCAGTGTTACTCTGGTCTTTCTGTTTACACTCTGTGCCTAGGCCCCTTAAGGCTCTCTGCTTCACATCCTCTCTCGTCTTCTCAGCGCATACGATGCATTATGCAATATGTGAAATGTAGGAGTCTGTTTTGAGGGGCTTTGTGACATCCTTCCCCTGTTGTGAGTGTTAATCCAGGGTCATAGGTTTGCTTTGGGACGTCTCTGTTCACAGGTTCTCACAGCTCGGAATTTTTTGGCTGAATACCATCTTCGGAATTCTTTCCGTAGAATTCTCCTGGGATGGAAGGCAGGCACGGATCCTCCATTAGAGTAATGTAAACACAGAGTGCCACTGAAATGCACAACGTCTCATCTGTTTACATTTTTCCAGCTGTATTGTGCTGAAAAGTTGCAGGTGGCCATTAAAGCATGAGAGAAAGGCTGTCGCTGATGTCAGGTTAGGTGCGTGTTAGCCGCCGCATCCCCTGAGTCAGATACGCTGGAGACCTGGCCAACTTTCCACCCTAGTTGTCGATGTTCATATGAAGAGCTTTTTTTATTTATCAAAGATTGTTGTTGTTTCAGCCATGCCTGGACATTAACCAAACACTCATCATACTGACATCATACTGTAATTGGCTCTGAGGCGCTGGAGACAGGAATGAAACAACATGTCCTTTTTAGGTGCTCCGTGTGCCGCGCTTCGACAGATATCTTCAGATATACAAGCCGAACAGCTGCCTTTCCACAGTGTATGAACCAAAACAAAGAGTTATGAGATAATCCCAAATGATGAGGGGTTGCAAGTGAATCTGTGTTTTTTTTGATGACCTATGCAAGCCCTCAAACCCCTAAAAATGAGCAGTCAACTTTTATTATTTTAATTAATTATTTTAAAACAATTAAAGTATATAACATTTTATATATTAAAACTATATGTATATGCTATAAAATAATTCTTATTTTTTAAAATATATTATTTTATTCATTTTATTAAATATTATTTATAATTACATAAAATTATAATACAAAATCATTATAAATTATAATAGAATTTAATACTAATCATAATAATAGTAATAATAAAATACAAGCTTTTTTCATTTTTCTATATTTTTTATAATGTTAGCCAAATTTTTGTGCACCACAAGCATTCATCATTTTCATTGATCATGTTTAATCCTGTCTCTGATCCTTAGTACTAAACTAGCGTGTTTTTAGTGCTGTGCCTTTAAGACTTTGTCTTTTTTGCATGTCCCTCCTTCGGGAACAGCCTTTTTGTAAAGCTGCAGCACATTGCAACAGATTCATATAACAGTCGGAACTAAAATTATTACATTTGAGTCCTTTTAAAGTTGAAACCGCAGAGTTGTAGGTGCTACACACAGCCAGACACAGCACAGGTTTGACACCCAAGAATTAAAATGTCATCATTATTTACTCATCCTCATGTCATTCTGAACATCATCTTTTGTGCTCCCGCAAAAAGAATGTCAGTCATACAGGTTTAGAATGACGTGGCTTAGTGAATAATGACAATGAGATTTCATTTTTGGGTGAACCATCCCTTTAAGTTTCTGAATACTCAGTAGGCGACTTTGACGTGATAGTGTAGTCATGTTCAAATACATTCATCTGCCTGCTTTTAGAAACTTCCATATGTAATGAGCTGGTTTTGAACCTTAAAGTTACAGTACGCATACTGTGCTGTTGATAGGAACATGCAGTTCTTGAAGCCACCAATAGGGGCAGCAGACCATATGGAGTACAGTACATTCACCTCGGCCTTCAAAGGCCTCTTTGTGGTTTCCTTTTGTTTCCATAGCCCTGCGCTGTGTTTGAGGACAGATCTGATCTACATCGTCGCTGTTCTGTAAGCAGTTGAACTAAGATCAGTGACTAAATGTCTAAGCACTCTGAACATAGAACAGGCAATTTTTCCCGTCATTAGTCGGACAAGCACATGGTACATTTGACAAAATGCCTTTTTTAACTGTGTGGTTTTAGGAATTTTCATTGGGATATAAATCTGTGGACCACAGAAATGCACTTTTAAAAATGCCTTTTATACCTGTTGCATACGAATTATGGTCAAAGTAGTGATTTAGGACAAATAGCAGCTGATCATCTGAATTCCAGGAGGAAAATAAAGGCACAAACTGAGCTGCTCACAGTGAAATGTAAAACTATAACTTAACCCGCATGGAGCCGAAATGAAACAGAAGGACACAGGGAGCCTTGTTCTAAATGAAGAGTAACTGCAGCAAAACAAAGGCCGAGTATTTCAGGATCTCAGAGGAGAGGCTGGAATACCACATAGGGAGGGAAGGAACCAGACTCACTGAATCAACGTAGACACCCTCAACTCCACTGGACTCCTACCAAACTGATGTGATTCCCCATCTCTGTCTGTCCTACATCTGTAGATTTGATTACTGTGGATACTGTACTTCACAAACACTTTTGCTGCTTTCCCTTCAAAGTCAGAAGTGGGATATCCCTGGCTTCTGACCGTATGGGTGATGTATAACCTTGCTGCTTTGGAACATCTGGTTTGGTTTTTAGTTGGACAGTAACTGGTAAACCATCTTAAATCAGCAACAAATCAGCTACCAGCTGGTCATACCAGGTTATTTTGGTCAAAATGCTGGTCAAAGTTAGTCAAAAAGGTTTTTGGAAAATGTTAGGTAGTCACCTATCCAGCAACCATTTTAGGATTAGTATTTTAAGGCTGCCAAAGTTAATGCACTAAGTAGTGCATTGTGTGAAACAGTTTGATGCAGGCAAGTTGCAAAGTTTTATAATATACCATGTATCTAAAACTAAAATTATTTTGTGGCCATTTTTATTTTTGACATGGCTAAGTTAAGTTAAGTTAAGCTAAACTAAAGCTTGGTTCCATCATAAAAAAAAAGGTAATTGCGACTTTTTATATCACAATTATGATG